TCGAAGAAACTTATGGAACAACATTACTACTGAAGCAATTATGTTGTATTTATCTCTATGCGAAGCATGTCAAAAAAAGGCGAAGGGCAAGAAAAAAGGAATTGTGATAAAACCAATTTTGACGAGTGAAATGTACAAGGTGTCAAGTGGATCTTATAGATTTACAGACACAACCAGACAATAAATTTAAATTTATTTTAAATTAGCAAGATCATTTAACCAAACTGCTAACTAAAAACAAAAACTGCGCCAGAAGTACCAAAACAACATACCGACATTTGGGAGTCCCATCCATTCTCCAATGTGATAATAGCAGGGAGTTTTCAAATAAAATTATTTAAGAATTAACAAATATGTGGGATGGTGTGAAAATAATACACGGGAAGCCTCGCCATTCCAAAAGCCGGGGCTCGAACAGCGAGCGAATTAAGATGTTCAAAATATGCTTACAACCTGGCCTAACCAAACAACCAAGTGGTCAGAAGGCTTAAAATATGTTGATGATGATGATGAAAAATAGAGCTTTTCATGAGGGTATAAAGCAAAATCCATATGATGCTTTATGCGGAACAAGAATGAAATTGTGTTTGAAAGCATCAAATTTACCTATGCAATCTGTTGAACAGCTGGAAACAGAAGAAGAGTTAGGGCAATTACTATAAGGAGTACACACAGCCAATTTACTACAAAGTAATGTCGCAGAAAACAATGAATTTTCCTGCTGCTCTGATTGGTGATAATGTTAGAGTTTCCATTCCAGAGGTTGATCGTGGTAAAACAGATAGAAAAAAATGATTTGCGTTGTTTTGTCTAGAGTTGACGATTAATTTTTTTTAAAACAATCTTATTCTAGACATGAATTCGCCATTTGCTAACAAAAGTTTATATCATACCAATATGTTCCTCAAGATGTTGAGAAATCGGTAAGAGAAATTATAGGAATGCAGTCCCTTACTGGTGGACAAGGTTTTAAAGGACCATGTTCCTCAAAAAAATGCAGTTGTAAAAATACTGGATAATATGTAATTTCAAGTATCGCAATAGCAATAAATAAAACTTTTTTCATTATGAAATTTTTATGTTTCTTTATAGTTTTATAAAATTAAACTGTTATAATAAAAAAAAGTATGTTATTATTATTATTTGTTTGATTCCCATCGTATTGGTTCTGAAAAACTAGGGCGAAAATTGTATTTATGAATATTGGATCATAACCTACGATATATTATATAACATGCAAAGAAAAGAATTTTTTGTTTATTATATAACCTTTTGTATTATGTTTATTTAAATAAATGTTTTTTAACTGCAACAACATTTTTAAGTTATTGATATTCCAACTTTTATTAAAACGTGAAGGTAAGAGTACACATTTGTCGGGAAATGTACATATACATTATATTTAGTTCACACATACCTACAGTGTACATTGACGATAACATATATATGTAATATTCTAACAACTAATGTGTCATGTCGCTTAATGCTTAAAATGGTTAATACTAGCTTTGAACTGAGAACGCGTCATGTTCCCCACAACTCGCTTCACATTATATATATATATTTTTTTAATAAAAAAATAACTCATATGTTGCATTAAAATTAGGTTATACAAAAACTAATTTCAGTAATTTTTGGGTCTGCATTTTGTGAGAGCAGTTTCGATGAAAACCAACAGATTATCTTGAAAAGTTAAAAGTAGACAACAACCTGTAAAATCCCTGATGCAGCATAATCATTTTAAAGGGTGGAGTAGAGGCAGGACAGTATAGTAATGTTGTTAATTTCTTTAAATGTATCAATGGCTTTCTTAAGCCTATTATTTTTGTTTTATTTACCACGGCGTTACAAAATCATAGCATTTGATGATCTGGCAACCGCCTGATAGAAACGTGAAGCAAACTTATAGAAAAATAGACCTCTAGGAATAAAGATTGTCGCCTTTTTGTGATTAAACAGTTATTTTCTGGAAATATTTGCATAAAATAAAAATTTATAATGATCTAAATTTTTCCAATATTTAAAAAAAATAGTCAGAAAATTAAATTATTATTTCAAAAAAAGCTCTAAAACACAAATACTTATTTACGCAAATACGACCGAGGGTTAAACGTCAAATACAGGGTGTCAAAGGTTTTCTAAAAAAAATAATTAGTTAATTATTTAATAAAAATATAGCAAAGAAAATTCCTTACAAACATCATTATATTAATAGTACAGCATCTAGCGATTTATCAAGTTGGCATTATTTTATCGGTTAGCCATTTTTATAAAACAAATGAAATTTTGCACTTATTAAGACTTATTTAAATCTAATGTTTAATAGCGAAAAGAGTTTTATTGAAAATTAGTGAAGAAAACAGTGAAATTCTAAATTCTGTGCGAAAAATTGTTATAGACTTATGGAGGAAGGAAAAATCGCATAATTGCTACAGCTATCGATAAAACACATGCAACATTTCAGTATATCGTAAAGCAATTGAGAACCAGCGGTTCATAAAAAATAAAGGCCAGTTCTGCTCGTCCAAAAAAGTTGACTGTTCGTCAGGAAGCTTCCTTAATTAGGAAAATATCGAATAACTCCAAGTTGAGCTGGTCAATCCACAAACTCAAAGAAACTGTTTGTTGAACTGTTGAATAGCAAGAAGAAAACCTTTTATCTTGGAACAAAATCGCAAGAAACGATTGGATTTTGCAAAATAATATATTACGAAACTTATAGAGGTTTGGGAAAATGTGATATTCACTGACGAAACAAAAATGAATATTTTTGGATCCGATGGGCAAACGAAAGTGTGGAGAAAACTAGAAAGAGCATTTGAACTTGTGTTCCTGTGTAAAGCATGTCAGGTTTCTGGTGTAGGAAATTTTACTTTTATAGATGGTACTATGGGATGGATCAGCATGTTTACCTGAACATATGGTGAAGACAATTTAAGCCTAGCGTTCAAAAATTGGGACTAGAAGACCATTATGTTTCAACAGGATAATGATCCGAAACCTACGGCTAAACTGTTACGGGGATGGTTAACACATAATATTTTACAACTGCGTACTTCTCAGTCATCAGATATCAACCTAATAAAGCATCTGTGTTCAAAGTTTTCACCAATGAAGCGCTTAAAGCACGGGTTACAGAATAATATTCCAAGTAGCCAGAAAACTCGTTCGTAGTTTGTGAAAAAATATTTTTTTTTTTTATTCGTTATAATAATTTAAATTTACGGAGATTGTTTTTATAAACTTCAGTTCGAGGAGTTGCTTGTTTATTTATTAAAGATCAAGATATTAAATATAAATACGAGGTGTGTTCAAAAAGTAAGGTGACTTTTGTAATTGGGCGGGCTACGTATATTTGATATTAGATTTTTTGTTTGTTATGTTGGTACACATATCCCTAACATATGTTCACTGTTTCAGTTAATCTGCATGTTTACTTTTATTTGTGAGACGATTTTCTGCTGTCAAAAAAAAAAAAGGAAAAAGAATTTGTATAAAAGTTTGTATAAAAAATGGAATACAGTGCTGCAGAATACGTGAAATATTAACAACGGCATATGATGAATCTACTTTGAGCAAAAAAAATATTTATTATAAGTGATGTTGAAGAAGTGAAACAAATGATGTTGAAAAATGGTATTACTATTAGAGAAGTGGCTCAAGACATCGACATCTCTACTAAAAAAATGTCCGGAATTGTGGGAAAACAATGCACCTGCTAACTCATCATTGCTTGTGTCTAACTTTTTGGTCAAAAACAGAAATACACTCATGCCTCAATCACCATATTCACCGGATGTGGCGATTTTTTCTTGTTCTCCAAACTCAAGAAACCCATGAAAGGAAGGAGGTTTGGAACGATTGAGGAGATAAAGAAAAAATCGCTGGAAGAACTCAAGGCTATACCAGAAGTACTTCGAGGATTGGAAAAAACGTTGGCACAAGTGTACTACGGGAGGTTGGGGCAAGGCGTCCCATCCAGTCGATTTATTTTTGACTAGCTTTAACTAAATTTACCCAAATTTTGGGATTATAAAAATTGTTATTGGTATTTATAAGATTTTCGAAAGTTCTGGCTTTAGGCTAAATCCATCGAATTATCCAAAAAATTACACTTTCAATAAATTAATTGCGATTTGCCTTTAATTACATGGAATAGCTTTCACTTAGAATTTTTAAGCAGTCCATTTTACCTCTGATATTACGCAGAGGGTTAAAAATATACAAATAACCAGAATTTATAAGTATAATAATGGAAAAAAAAACTTGGCCCCAGGGGGCCGCCTTGCCCCATCCTCCCCTATATCTGGGTGAGATTACTTTGAAAGGGACAACATTAATTTTGATAAATAAATAAATACTGTTTGATAAAACTTCCTTCTTCTTATAGTATTTGTTTTTATTTAATTCTCAAGAAAATTGAAAACTCAACCACTGAGAAAAAATATGAAGACCTTTTTGATAAAGGTTTTATTTTTACCTAAGAAACTGATCTTGACGGTTTAACCTTAAGTCACCGCGTATATTATCCATCAAATAATAATTTCCTATATTACATTACAGTAACGTGTACGACAATGAAAGCAATCTCTACTACTCCCGGTCTCACTCTAAATAAAATTTGCTTGACAACATTCGAAGGATGAAATTTATCGTTTCTGAGTAATATGTTATTTTTCTGCTTAATGCTTCTGCCGATCGAATTCACCCGCAAAAATAACTCCCTCGCGTACCCCATCTGTAGAAAACGAACGGCGCCGCGTCGACCGTCGAAGAACCCGACCTATCGGGACGGTCCATATAAGTCCAAGATCCGAAATGTACGTGGGGGCCGGCACCGAAGAGTGACGCACCGGGCTCGTACCGCCGGCGCGGGTCACTCCGATTTACTTTCGAAACGAACGCGACCGCGAACGCACGCGCGACAATCTCGCGCACGACTGCCACGAAACCACACGTCCGTTTATATATACTTTATATACGTTTTTCTAATTACTCAGTGCGAACCAACCGCGAGGATGACCGTCGAAAAGGGTAAAACCAACAAGAAAAAAACGACCGCGACGAAGAAGACTGAAAAAACGTCCGCCTCCGTGTCGAAATCGTCGTCCGCTTCGAGTTTACACATATCCGACGTTTCGCACTTGCCGGTTCCGTCGAACTCCGTAACCTACACGGTGACCGAAATGTTGCCGACCGGGTCTGGCGAAAAAATAACCGTCTATGGCGATCAGGGCGCCGCCACCTCCACCGAATACAGACATTTCGTGCAACAAGAGGCCTCTAGTGCGGCTACCGCCTCCACAACGATCCAACAAATAAGCTCGACTTTGAACGAGTCGACGTCTAATTTATCCAGCGCTTCCGGCTCCACCTACATCGTTACCGAACCCAGAGACGAATTTCGACTGACTTACAACAAAAACGACTCCGGTTGGAATGGAAAGTTCGTAATGGAGTCATCTCCGGGGAAAAACGTCGTCGAGAAACGTTCCTCCACGTCCACGTCACACAGGGAGACCTCCACGTCGGAGAAGAGGTCCAGCGATAGCTACGTGAAGGAAGTGATCGACGGGAAAGAAAGGATAGTAGACAGGCAGCACCGAGAGTCTGGAAAAATGGCGTCGACGAGTAAAGATGAACAGATGGTATCCAAGAGCGGTACCGGGGTGGTACCCGAGACGCATTACCAGGAGAAATCGAAGGAGAGTACGACGGTGTACGACACGGCCGTACCGGAATTGACGCGGCCTAAGAGCAAACACTACGAAGCCGTGAAGGAGATGCACCAGGTAGGTGATAGTACTTCGACGTCGCAGTACGTCACCCGCGACGACGACATAAAATCCCTCAAGATATCGGAGGATATTAAGAATATCGACGCTAAAAGTACGACCGGTCGATCAATAATCGACAAAACTAACACTGCGGATAGTACTACCCGATCCGAAATGAAATCTAGTAGTACTGGCGACCAGACTGAAACCGTGACGACGACCACCACGTATTACGACAGCAAAGGGAACGTCGTGAAAAGTTTCACCGACGTAGATACCCACGTTCTTCCCGGTGAGTCGCGGACTAAGTCGTCCGCTACCCGGACGAAGTCGCCTACCAGGAAGTCACAGACGACAACGTACGTAGACGAGAATTACGCGGACACCAACAAAATCAGGCAGAAACAAACGTACACTGATTCAAAAAACTTCTACGGGCACACCGTCGATTCGTCAAAGACGGTGGTTGAAAATATTTACGATTCCAAAGCAGTTCAGAACACCATCGGCACCTCGGGTAAGGTTATCAAAGACCACACTATCGATTCTACAGACGTGGTGTACTCTAACGAGAGGAACTACGGGAAAACAGGCTGGAACGGTCAGTTCACGCACGAGCAACCCCCAAAGTCGTCAAAAAGCGCATCTCCCACCCGGCAAATACCCAAAGGATCCAAAACCACAGTTGTCGATGATTTTTTGTCCACAGAAAGATCGGAAAATATTAAACAGACCACCACCGGCGTCACCAGAAAGCAACCTAGCGAAAAATCACCCACCAGAAAATCCAAGCTAAGCGATGACACCAACAAAGTCACTTATGTGGACGAAAACTATGTAGACACCAATAAAATAAGGCAGAAACAAACATCCACAGATTCAAAAAACTTCTACGGCCATACCATCGATTCCTCGAAGACGATGGTTGAAAATACTTACGACAGCAAAGCTGTTCAGAATACCATCGGCACCTCGGGCAAGATTATGAAAGACCATAACATCGATTCTAAAGATGTGGTGTACTCCAACGAGAGGAACTATGGCAAAACCGGTTGGAACGGGCAATTCACCTACGAGCAGCCCCAACAACCACCAAGAGGCTCTTCCCCCACCCGACAGACTCCTCAAAAACATCCTAGAGAAAGATCGCCCAGCACGAAACCGAAACCAGGTGACGATGCCAGCAAAATCACCTACGTGGATGAAAACTACGTGGATACCAACAAAGTCCGGCAAAAACAAACGTCGACAGATTCAAAAAACTTCTACGGCCATAGCATCGATTCCTCGACCACGGTGGTGGAGAACACCTACGACTCCAAAGCCGTGCAGAACACCATCGGTACCTCGGGCAAAATTATCAAAGACCATACCATCGATTCTACAGACGTGGTGTTCTCCAACGAGAGGAACTACGGGAAAACCGGTTGGAACGGACAGTTCACGTACGAGCAACCCCAACAATCTCCTAAACGCACATCGCTCACCCTTCAAACGTTAACGGGACCTAAAACCACATTAGTAGAAGATTTTTTAACCACGGAAATATCCGAAAACATTAAACAGACCACCACTGAAGGCACTAGGAAGCAATCTAAAGAAAAATCGCCCACCAGGAAGCAACCTAGTGGAAAATCTCCCACCAGGAAGCCCAAACCAGATGACGGTATCAACAAGATCACCTACGTGGACGAAAGCTACGTGAATACCAACAAAATCAGCCAAACGTCGACTGATTCGAAGAACTTTTACGGCCATAGTGTCGACTCCTCGACGACGGTGGTGGAAAACATCTATGACTCCAAAGCCGTGCAGAATACCATCGGCACCTCGGGTAAGGTTATCAAAGATCATACCATCGATTCTACAGACGTAGTGTACTCCAACGAGAGGAATTACGGCAAGTCTGGGTGGAACGGTAAGTTCACCTACGAGGAGCCGCAATCGCCCAAAAAGAAACCCGGTGATAGGACAAAATCGCCATCGCCTGCTCGCAAGCCGTCTAAAACCGGTCCCCAAAGTCCCGAAGCGTCCAAACAGGGTCCGAAGCCAAGAAGACCGAGCGGGACGGTCACCACCAAATCCGATTCGTCTACCGATTCCAAAACAGTGATCACCAAAGATTCGCAAACGTTTGTGGATAATCGTTCATCGGTAGAGCAGTATACGACCACGGATGTGGTAAACGTCGAGCATACCACCAAACCAACGAAAGAAGTCATCGACATAACCAATGGGAGCATTGTGGACTCGTTCGTGGACAAGAAATTCACTAGCGAGACATCGGAGAAGACCAACGTCATCGAAGATGTCAAAATCGATAAAACGTTCACCGACGTACGCAGCGTTGATGCTACTGACCGGGTGAGCAAGACCTTCGTGCAAGAAAACATTCTGGACGTTAAAGACATCGTAAGTCGCTTGATAGTTTTTAAAGCGCAAAATGCTCAGCAGATTTTTTGTCGCAGACTCACGAGGAAAACATCACCAACGTGAAGAGGATCAGCGACAACAAGGTGATCAATATCGTCAAGACTATCAAAGAGGAAGCGAAACCGGTGCCGCTCAAGATTCCGCTCAAGGAGGCTTGCATTTGCGAGCTGTGCACGTGCGGGTGAGTTTTTTATTTTTTTTTGCGCATATGCGGTCTCAAAAATCGACACTCTCAGCTTTCTATAACTTTTTACCGTCGAGAAAATTTACATATATACACGTGACCTTGTAGAATTAGGTTGTTTTGTTAACTATTAATCGCATTTGGAGAAAGCAAAGCAGCAATTAAACGGGTCCAACGGTTGATTTTACAATTAAATAAATTTATTAATATTAGATCGAATTTCTCCCATAAGTGGACTGAGCTAAACGCTAAGTTTTATGGTATTTTAATGCGCGATTTAAGTTGTACTGTTTGCTCTTTAATCTACTTTACTTTTTTTGGCGGTCTGGCGACGGTAGTGGTGAAGGTAATTAATTACATGGCGTTTTCGATCCGCGTTAGAGGTTCACTTCTTTCGAGTTGCTAAAAACAAAGCAATTTGCTTCAGATTTAAGCTAAGGCGTTGGAAAAAAATAATAAGAAATCAGTTTATTTACAAAAGATAGTTATTACAACAACAATAACAACTGATCAAATTTCAACCCGAACAATTAGTGTCTAAGATAAAAAATCAAAAAGATGAACGTCAATTACATACAGAGTGGCGAAATAGTACGACAAATTACTAAATCTCATTTAGGAGTATTTAAAAAAATATGTTTTGGTTAGTTAAATATTTTAAAAATATTTTCAATTATTTTCATTATGCAATTATGCAAATTTTATTTTTTTAAAAGGAACGCCCTATATAGTTTCGTATATTATGAACCGGCCAAGACATGTTTATGTTTAATGCGACATTGTCAAAACAAGGAAAATGTTATACTCTGCTAATCTGCTTCTTTTATTATATTTAAAATGGATCTTATTGCAGTCAAATGCACTACAAATAGTACATCGTCTATTTCATTCAGGGGATTTTCCAAACTTTTTCCAACTGGCCGAACTTTAAACTAATTTTTCTCCGATTTTTGTTAGTGGAGCATCCTGTGTCTAAAAAACTTCATCATGCTCAGTTATGGCACCTCTTTCGCATTTGTTAAGATTTCCCTTTAACTATCGATTCAACTTTTTCCGTAATATTCGTTTTCATTAATATATTACAAAAATATTTATAGTTAAATTTATAATTAAAAGGAATTAGGTAAATGAATTATCAAAGTGTTCAATCAAAAGTTTCAATCGTACTTAAGGAATTTTTGAATATTAATTATAAGTAGAAAATATTTTTGTCCTTTTTTTGCATCAAAATTTCGCAATAACATTTGAGTTATTTTCAAAGTTAATTTTTTCGCGAACTGATCACTTGATTTGGAAACATTGTTTCAAATTGTAGCTTCAAATCTTCAGAAACGATGTAATAAAAAAACTTCTCATTTAAATTTACGTTTTGGCCATGTACAGGATGAGTCAACAATAAAGTTCATTATCTCATGGACCATATAATAAGTTGTAAAATTTGCACCATTTTAATCTATTTTAAAGTATACAGGGAGCTCAAAAAAGCGTGGAAGTAATAAAAAATTTTCCATCGAACACCCTATTTTCAAATTTTGTTTTGAATTCCTGTCAAAATTATTCAGCTTTTTTATTAATAATAATACATTAAAAAATACTAGTTTCAGAACTTTCAAAAAAATTACGCCATTATTATTAAAGCAGATCACTCATATTTGAGATTAGAGTTATTCGAAGACGACGTAAAAGATATATGCAACTGAATTTGAATTAGATGCTACATGGTGTCCAACATACCATTTATTTTAACTTATCCAATCCAATATTTACCCCTCTTTCTGTCTAAGACTGTTGCTATAATATTAGTTGCTCATGATAAAACTATTACCCCACAGGGCTCTGTTAAGATTAAAAAATGAACTGGACAAATAACGGCCAAATTTTAAATTCACAGAAAAAGTAAATAATATTAAATACCTATTACTACAAATTAACTTATCCAATTTTTAATTATTCTTATGGCGCAATAAATGTTCAAAATTATTCCCTTCTACTTGAATACACATGTTTAAGTCTTTTTCGTATATTTTCTTGAACGTTCCTTAACATAAATGGTTTTATTCTCCTGCACGCGTCCCGAATCCTATTTTCAATATCTTCTGGTATTGTAGGAGGATTCATATCAACACAATCTTTAACATATCCGCACGCGGAATTTAATGTCTAACGTACTTATTAAAGGTAATTACAATTTTTTTTTTAAAGAAAATCATAAACATGAAACAAATAAAAAATCAGTCGGTGACTCCTCCCATAACCTTTATAACCGATTGACATCTACGTCGCATACTTTGAACCAGACGTTTAATTTGATATTTGATGTTTTCTGCATCCTCCAAAGAGACCGGTGGGGGTTAATGATCTCCGCCATTTGATCCCATAAATATTCTATTGGATTAAGTTGTGGACTGCGTGGAGGGCTCAATATTTACCTCATTTAAATAATTTTGTACTCTGATAAACTTGTTCGTTTGACACTAAATTCCATACAACATTTAATAACTCAGATAAAGACGCGAATAAAGAAATAAGACGCTGAGAAAAGATGAAGCTTAGACAGATACTTAAAAGTAATGTAATAGTGTGCTGTACTTGCCTAAAACTTTTTAACAATTTTTACAATTTAAATATATATATATCCAAATCGAGTCAACAGTTCTCGAGAAAATGTACTTGAAAGTTAAGTTTAAAGACTGAAACAAAATGTTACCATTATTTTCGACATCTTTTTATCAAATTATACCATTATGCTTCAGATATTTTTAAGTATTAAGTAAAGTACTTGGTTGCCCTTTTTTGAGTTAATATATCCACTAATGTAACTTTTTACAATGCAGTCAGAATGATGCGACGCCAATGAAAAATCTGAATTAAGTTTTTATCGCAAAAAATATCCGTTTACCGAATTATTAGACCCATGGATTCCAACCTTCCGACGCAACGGCCATGTTTCATCACAAAAAATTGGCAGACCCTTAATTACATCGATATCGCTGAACGACTAACGAGCGCAAACTATGTCACGTGCTGGTGCTCACTGCGTTCCATTTAGACGGAAAAATGCAAAACATTTCCAATTTACATTCCCGAGAGTTTGCTTTGTTTATCATTTATTATTCAAGTCTTGGGCGCGAACGCGATTGGTGCCGTCTCGAAGCCGCTATCTAGGAAACACGCTGCACATTCTCAACTGTATATAGCACGCTTTTCGTGGGAACCTGGGAAAACAATTTCTAATCCTTGAACTGAGGTGGCTTTTACTTGATAAGAACCAAAAAGTTCACTACCTGCTACTGTATATACCGAAAAATGACAATAAAATCTCGATTAATTTAAGTTCAATAGAGGAGAGGTATTTAAATCTAATTAATCGTTAAGCAATACATTTGAGTGTATCATTTTGACATGGCTTCCAATAAATTAAATTTTCTACTTTTTGTGGCTGTAAATATCAAAATGAGATACAAACGACATTTATGTAAATGTAATACATTCTGAATTGTCTCATAGACTCATTCTCCTAGAATTTGACACATTTGATTATAGAGTTCGAACAGACATTTCATCTATCATTCATTTCTTAGACAAAAACTAAAGTTAGATAAATTAATTTCTAATAAAAAAATATCTAACAGCAATCCAGTTATTACAAATTATACCGACCACCAATTTTACAACAGGTTCATAAACTTAACAGACACAACATTTTATACAAATGAAGTTGAATTTCTGGAAAAAGGCTTCAACTTTAACTTACAGCACTCGAACATTAATAAACTGTTTAGGGATCGATTGTGAATTAGCTATTAAGGACATTAACGATTCTAATTTAAACAAACATGTATTAGCGAATATAATAAACCCTCAATTAATAGATAACAACAAACACCAAGAAATTTCTCAAATGTCACTAGTAAAAACTATCACAAACAAAGCTTCTGAAAATAACATAATATTTACACGTGCAGATAAAGGGAAGACAGACATAGCTATTGATCTCCCAGCATATATTTCAAAAACCAACAATTTTCTTAAACCAGAACTTTTCCAATATATCAAACACGATCCTATCGAGTTATATCAAAGACAAGTCATGGAAGTAATTACTAACTCCACAATATTCAGTGACAAAGACAAGTATTTTTTGACAATTATGAATCCACAACCGCCGAAACTGTATTCTCTAGTTAAATTACATAAACAAGATATGCCCATTAAACCAGCCGCGTCTTATGTAACGGGTATGGCAGATAACCTCTCAACAAAATTAGTAAATATTTTAAAGTTCCACACGTATTTTAAACCAGAATTTGCAATAAAAAATTCTTTTGAATTAATCAACAAAATTAAAGATATCAAAATCCCTTCTAACGCAACACTATTGTCTTGTAATGTACAAAACTTATTTCCCAGTATTCCATCTATGGATGTGATAGATTTAGTAGATTTCACCCACACTCGGAAGCAAGTTAACCCATTGGTGAAACAAGATTTATTAGATTGCTTAATAGTACCTTTGGACCAAAATTATTTTGAATTTAATGGACAGGAAGGTTTGATCATGGGAAACCCACTTAGTCTTTTGTTAGCCGAGATTTTTATGGATAATTTGGAAAATATCATACTAGAACATCCTTCAAGTTAAAGTTTTGGTTAAAGTTAAAGTTTTCTTTGCTTGCTTTGTTGGAACGGACTTACAATTCTTTTTTAAATTACATTAACTCATTACATAATCGTATAAAATTCACTATCGAGATTGAACAGGATAACTCTATTAATTTTTTAGAATTAACTATTACGGAAACGCAAAACAAATTAGATTTTTCCATTTACCATAAACCTTCACACACGGACACAGTCATACATAACAGCTCAAATCACCATTATACACACAAAATGGCTGCATTTAACTCTTTTATACACAGAATTCTTAATACGCCACTCTCAACAGAAAATTACAACAAAGAACTTAATATCAGTAAACAAATTGCACTGAACAA